ATTTAAATATCAATTTTTAATAATTTTATTAATTTTTAAATTGAAAATTAGAAAGATACGCCTGATGTACAATTATTATAATTTTAAAATAATATTTTCAAACTTTTTTTAAAGAAATATTTTTTTTAAATAATACGATTGTAGATATATCGAAGAATTTGTAAGTTAAAAGTACTTTTATCAAAAATCTAATACGTATGTAAAAATAAAGAATTTAATATGAAAATGATGATGACGCATCCAACATTACCTTATATAGGAATAATAATGATCATATATATTATGCTAAAAATCTTATAGAATCGTCTGGATTAAATTATTTATAAGATAACAAAAATTAAGATTATTTTACTCGATACTGTGAATGAAATGAATCAAATTATGTAGTCCAAGTCATATTTGATTGTTATTAAATTAATTATATCTTCTTTTGCAGATGGATTCACCAGATCGCGAGATTTACCGCGATCCAGATGTGGTCAGAGCTGACGATAGGGTAGACGAGATTGTGCACACGGACACAGCGAGGAAGATGCTGTCCATCTTTCGGCAGTTGGAGGTAAATGCGTGCAAAGAGGAACTTCCAGATGGCCCGAAACCATTGAAACGCTTTACACCGCCTCCCGAGGACAAGTTCGCCAAGGCGACTGCTTCGGACTCGGAGGAGGGTGAGGACGAAGAGGGCGAGGAATCAGATGGTGATGAAAGCGCTGAGGAGAGAGATCCGAATTACGTCCGTGCTTCTGATAAGGTCTGTGTTTGTATAAGATTTCTTCTAAGATTAACGAGAAATGTTGAAAGATGTACAAATATGACGTTAATATAACAACTTGATAAACAGGATTTTTTTGAGTTTTTTTTTTATCTCTTTTATACTGTTTGCATTGTTTTATAAAATTCAGCATTAAAATAATCACAGAAGATACTGATTAATTTAAATTATTAAATTTTTCTGTTTCTTTTTCATTCTTTTTCTCTATAAAAAGTTCTTTTTATGCTCCAGATATATATATGTATAATCTACTTTAATTCTCAAGGTTTAATGTTTCCAAAAATGTCCAATGTTCCATCAGAATGGAACTATTTAAACATGTTATTAGGCGACTTTAAAAAGTCTGCACGAACTTTCGGGACAGGTCGATGTCCCGCGTCCAAAATTTCGGAAAAGTAGATCTTTATATCTAATTAACAAGATTCCATCCTATAATTTACGAAATATCTTGTCTATTATCCGGCTAGGTGGAGGACGAATTCTTGAAACAGGCGCAGAACGCGGCGCGTGCTAAGACCTTACGTGCTAAGTTCGAACACTGGGAGGAAACCGATGGCAAGGTCAGCAATCATCATATCGCCGAAATGGAGATGGCCCAGGGTACGGGCGAACAGTCTAGCATAGAGTCGGCGAGCAGTCTGAGAGCCCGTTTCGAGTCTCTCGGCTCGCAGGCCAACGAATCTCCGCGCACACCGAAGGTCAAAGTCAATCGATTTGTGGTAAGTACGTCTTCAAGTTCCACACAATTGCGCACGTTTCCCTTACTTGGTCCAATGTCGTATCGCGATTTATCGTTTATGTAATCATTATCATTCCTTTAATTAGTCATATCATATTACTATCCTCGTAATTTTTGATTAGTATTGATTAAATTTTAATATGTCTTTTAATTATTTGTCTTTTTATCGTAACAATATATTTTTTAATTAGCTTATGCGTCTAATCGTTTTAGTCAGGAATTTAAAAAATTAAACATCTTTATCGGCAAATTTCCTTTTTTTGTTTTTGAACAACTCGGCATCATGAAGTATGCGCATGGTGTGTTTTTGAATTGTCGTTTTTCTGCCTGTGCTTATTTGTTTTCCACTAATATGTTGGAATCATAAATGTATTCTGTTAATCGAGCAGTATTATGTATTATGTCAAAAATTTCACAATAAAGTATATTATTTAAAAGTAATTAATCTTTTATAATTAATTTTACAATTAAATTAATAAATTGTAACATTTATTTTGACGTAATTCGAATAATGCTCGAAAAGAGCACGACCGAGATTTTTATTCTATTATATTTTATTTTCTATTATATGGCTTTTATATAATGAAAATTTATTTTTCCATTCTTTATTAGCGACGTATATGTATATTTTGCGATGAAAAAACTGATTGTTGCTTATAATAATTTATTCGCTAATTATCCGTTTTATAATTATTTAATGATTTTTACGAATATATGCTGTCATTATATTATGCGACTTTAAATGGAACAGATGAGATTATTTTTTATTGCTCTGCAGCTCAAACTCTCCTCAAATTTTTCAACACTAATAATATTATTAATATTAATATATAACATAATAAATCATAATATATTAGTAAACACATTCTAGTATTTAATAATTTTAAGCTATTTATTTACTTTTAAAAATCTATAAGTGAATTATAAGATTTATAAGAAAATAACTTGGAACAATAACAATATCTTAATAAACAAAATAGATATAATTATTATTATCTTATTAATAATTATTATAATTATTTTGCTTTTGCATAAAAACGCGTCTTTTGTATAAATAAAATATTTTGATATGAAGAATAATTTTAACAAACTTATTCGTTGATATGACGCAAAGTTAATTTTTAATTATTTTTACATGCAAACAAATACAGAATTGTAATATTTCGTAGCTAAAACATATAAAAATAGTTTAATAGTTTACTAAAACTGTAAACTGTAAACTGTTTGGATAGTTGGGTATAACTTAACGAACATATTCCATTAAGTTTTAATTAAAATTCCACATGTGAGCATTAGCATTTTTAATCATCTTTGTTCTTTTACTGATTATTATCAAGCATGATTGATGTAATTATCTTTCTTTTTTATTTGATGTTATTGTTCTTATATTTTTTCTTTTCCTTCGTTTGAAATCTGCCTGTTATATTTTGACCGAAATCCTGCCCGCTTGTGTCGTGTGATAATGTAAAGAGAAAGTAATCACAAACAATATCAAGTGATCTTCTTTTTGTGACGTGGAGCAGTAAGGGAAAGAGAGAAAAAGAGGCGGAAGAAATACACCTGGATTAATTCGTGTGCGAAGAAGATGAGAGGAGGAGAATCGATGGATGAAGGAGAGCTCCATTGGGACAACAAGCGATGGAATGGCAATCCTTTTAATCTCGTGCATTAAGCAACGGCAATAAAATGTTCAGTTATCGTCGATTATTATAACGACTTTACGTTTTCTTAGGGATGGTTTTAACACGACGTTATGTTCGTATAGTAAATCTTAGCCCATAGACTGTACCATATGTTATATGTTAATATATTATTGTATTACAAGAGTTCGCGCGCGACCGTTGGATCTGTCGAGCGTTTCGACCAATTGCCAATTAGAAAGGAAGATATACAAAAAAGAATGTTAATGCAGAAAAAAAAAGATCAATTCCAAACAGATGGCGATAAACCGTTTGAGCCAGCAATAGCTGAGTCACTTAAGAAAAAGCCTTTAAAGAAATTTAATGTATATTGATTTGCAGATTATAATGAAAAAAGATCTCGATCGATCTATTAATCATTATTTTCCCATAAAGATCTATATTTCTGTATATAGATCTTTGGTATAGAAATTTCATTCTGGACATCTGTGAGATTTAATCTCATAAGTAATAGGATTTTTGCTTCATTAAAAAGTCGCACAATTATTTGTTACGCAGAAACGCTCGATTTATCCTTACACATATAACAGAGAGAAATCTTTATTGTCTACTAATTTACTTTATATATAAAAGACGAGCATCCATCTCTGCGTCGTACGTATGTCAGTTATACAGTTTTATTGTTGTCATGAAGATTCTTTCTTTAGAAATAAATAATTTTTTTTACATACATGCGACGACTCTAAAGTAAAATGCAAGATGGATTTGTTTTTAATCAGAGAAATTCGTAACGATGCGCACTTAATTTTTTATAACTTAATATTGTTAAAATTAAATGAAAATATGAATATATCTGTGAATATAAATAGTGTGAGTATGAAATGATTTTGATATCTGAGCATTAGAAGGAAGATCTTTATGAAGAATTTTAACAATTACGCAGTGCCAAATTTTTGGAACGTTTAAGCAATTTTTTTTTATAATAATTTTAATTTGAATAAATTTAAATTTTCATGATTGATGTAACACTAAGTATAATACAATATGCTTTTAATTTATTTTATTTTAAATGATTTGATTTTTTAAAGTAATACGTAAATAAATAAAAATTTAAATGTGAAGACTATAATAAATTAGATTGATTATATATAACGTATTATGTAAATGTACTAATAATAGAAAATGAAACTCAGATTATTATATGAACATCGATGATTTTAATTATCTTAGCTCGTTAATATTGCGCATAGATAACGTGATCAATTAAAGCATATTTAGGTCTTCTCGCATCGTTACGATCTGTCTTTACCGCTTTAAATTTCTGATTTTCATAAGTGCCAAGTTTTTCGTTGATGCATGAATGAGAAGAGAAACAGAGCGAGAGTAAGAGCGCGAAAGGGGAAAAAAAGTGCGTGAGAATGAAAAGCGACAGATAACGCTTCCTCAAGTTTTAACGTGTGAAATAAGGGCCTGTGCGATGAATTATCTATAAAGGAAGTGGCATTGTTGGAGTGTTCTAGGGCCGATTAGCGATTAGGACCGTAGATATTTCGATCGCTTTTACAAATTTCGAATCTTTTTACAGCTTAGCGCGATGGTACGGTAGATTTTTATACTCGTGTTAAATAGAAACGACAGTTTCGTTCTCGTGTCGTCGCGTTCGAGTCTACTTCCGCATTTGCAATTCGAGCGATTAAAAGTATTTCATGAACGCGCATCATGCATTTGCATCTAAGCACCTGTGCAATACGAAAAACTATGACTATGTATTTGTTATTTTATAAATGTTAATCTTAGTTGTATTATATCCTAGATATATTGCATTATTTCTCGTGAAAGAGATATTCTCTCGTCACCGGCTTTATCGCTTTTTGCTCTGTCATGTCCGGTATTTTTTATACTCACTAAAGATCGTGTAAAACGTTTATGCTTCACAACAGCTAAATTCTTAGAAACGACATTACTGCTGGATGCGAGAACGTCGTCGACATAGAGGCGCAATTTGTATTTCCAGAGGAAAAAAAAACACGCAGATGTGATCGACTTCGGTCATAGAGTATCAGGGTAAAAAGGCGATTGCGAGTTCGAGCCGAGTACGAAGGACCCACATTTTTAAAAGAGAGAATTGTACGAATTTTTTAAATGTGTATCTAAGTGATGTAGAAAGAGAGGAAGGAAAGATCGAAAAATGTATATTCTCGACAGCGAATATTTCTCTCGTCTTCCTTTTTTCCGTTTGTGAAGTAACAGTTCCCGTTGCGAACACGCGAATCGCGAAATGCGAATCTATTTAAGAGATTTAAGAGATTAATGTGATTTTATAGCGGGAAGCGCTAAGCTGATTTTGATTTACGAAAGATCCGCTCCGTCATTCGAGATGTCGATGAAGATGATCTCGCGTGACAATTTGCAATTGTCCTTGTTAACGGCCTCTCGAATTCTTCTGATTTGTATAGCATAGCTAGCGATAATACTAGTTTACTGCGTCTTTTAGCATTATTATTTCTATCAATGTATAACGATCTTGTTCTATTTATCTTTCACGTGTAACATTTATTACGATAATACACAAGTGATAAATAAAAACAGGTGCTAAAATCAATCTCAGTGGAGAAAAGTGGGGATGGGATGTAGTCAAGGAATAGGGAATTCTCTTGAAGCGACGCGGCATTTCTTCTTCTTAGCTTATATATCCCTGTATCTTTACACATTTCATCATACATATTCAGCAAATATAAATCCTCATAACTCAGCTCATTATTGCGAGGTATTAATAAGAATAAGTTTTACTGTAGCATTCTCTTTTGACATAAAAATCGTGCAGGAGATCCAGACGACCTGTGCGGAGGTGTGTGAGAGCTGCGAAAAGAAGGTTTATCCCTTGGAGAAGATCGAGACAAATAACAAAATCTTTCACAAGCAATGCTTCCGGTGTCTCCAGTGTAATTGCATTCTAAGGTAACGAAAGAAGATAAATTTCTTGTATCAAATTCATAAAATACTCATATTATCTTTAGATAAACCCAGAATATTTTATTTAAAATTAAACATATTATTTCATAAAGTGGTGAAGATGCTGCAAAAATTAAGAAATAAAACTAATGAATTATTAAAAATATTAATGTAATGTATAAAACGACGTAATATCCCTCCCCCCCCCACACACACACACACACACACACACACACATATATATATATAAATAAATATAATAAAAATAAATGATTTGCAATGTTCAAACAGGATGGACTCGTTTACTCTGAATAATGGCAAGCTGTACTGCATCCCGCATTTTAAGCAACTCTTCATCGCACGAGGAAACTATGACGAGGGATTTGGCGTTGACCCACACAAGAACAAATGGGCGACGACGAATCCTAATAATTCCACAAGCCCATCGCCGATCGCAGTTTCGAACGGCGATCTTTGATTTTCCGAGTCTTTCACCTCTATTCTTTCCTAACTATACATCGCTATTGAATTTTAGTCGAATTTATGGATGGATCTAGAAATTGTTGAAAAGATTTGTCTTTCTCGAAAATACATAGTGGAGTAGATATTAATCACCGTGAAAGAGATTGAATATTTTTTACAATTCTGACGTTTTCCTTTGTTGAGCGGCAAACTAGATTCGTCTATGGTCGGATCGTGATGATAATTACGAATGCGATGATAATTACGATAAATTGTACATTTTTATTAAGTTAGACCCATAACGTATAATTGTATATTTAATGGTAATTGGTATAAATCGCGATGATCGGAGACTTGCCTTAAAAAACGATCTCCATGCGCGATAATCTTCTCGAAGGATAATCTTGCCAGGCACGTTGAATAAATGAATTGAAAGCACGCCTGCGTTTTCTTCGTTGTTATAAATCAAAAATACAGATATAATTTCAATTATATCGAGAAAATAATGAAAAACACATGCTTCTTTGATTTCTATTAGGTTGTATTGAAACTAACTACATTCTAGTTCATACGTTCATTAATGAAAAATTAAAGAAATCAATTCTGGCATAATAATGTGCTTCTAAATATCTTATTCTCAATTTTAATTCTCTATTATCATCGCTCACCATAAAATTCGCTTCATATTTGTTACTATTATTATTTTATTGATTTTATTATTATTATTATTATTATTATTATTATTATTATTATTATATTATAATTATTATTAATATTATTTACGTGCGACGCACTTGGTATTATTTTATTATATATGTTGTATAATACAATATTACTTTACGCTTCGTGAATCTTGTATCCGAACCTGTCCCTCAATAAATAAGAATTTTATATATCTCTATATTTACATATTATATAATATTCGCGCGATGTGAATCTAATCGATTAGTAGTAGTTTAAGAAATATGATTTATGTACAGCAATATTAGAATAACATGCTGTTGCGGATTTGTTGTTGGTTTACTTGGATATAAAATATGATAAATGTAAGCAATCAAGACCTCGGAAAGAGTTGATTAAATTCAGCAATTTTAGCTATCATTACAGTAAAGAGATCATACAGTAATTAGTCTCTTTTCAGTTTTATTGAAAAATATGGTTCGCTGCATTATCTGTATCAAACGAATAGCTAATACCAGCCAGACTCGAAATCATTGCTAATAAATAGGATGTTATCATTATGCAACATATATCATGGAAGTATAATCCAGATGGCGAGACTTGCGCATGTAAAATTTCATTTGTGGAGGCACTGTGCATGCCGGCAGCCATATTTAGAACATGTAACAATCATTCTCTGACACAATTCTTTGACGTGAGTTTATATTAATTTTCTTTTCAAAGTGAATCTATGCATATATAATTTTGTCATCAGAATCGCCAACTCGTTAATTAAATAATGACAAAAATAGAATAAAAATAATATGCTCGGAATATAATTACATAATAGATCTGTCGATTTATCTGAAGCTGTATTATCAACAGCTTATCAATCAAGAGATAAGTTAATAAGTTATCATTTGCTTTAATTAGTAGATTAATTTAATAAATGAGGTTCCGACTCAATTTTGTTTTTTCACCTGGCAAAATTTTTCATTGGATTGCTATTATTTATGCATATAAATTTTTTTATTTATTACAAATACTATTTAAAAATATAAATAGGAAAGATTCTATTTCTTACAATGATATTTTCTTGCTCTTTCATTATTATGCTAAAAATTAATTATTACACTAATAAAGAGAGAAAAGAAATCGATAGCAACAATAATATAATTTTAGAATCTAAAATTTAAGTAATATGAAACAAAGTCCAACAGCACATAGATATACCATAATATAAACAATTTGCACAACAATTTGCACTGATAATTTCTGAAAAGTTAATTTTTTTCCTAAAAAAATATAAAAGCAGAGAAATATATAGCTATTGTAAAAATGATTTTTTCCTTCAGTCGATAACGTATTTAATAATATGTATCGAGTAGTATTAATAAATTATTTCGTCGTACACTATTTTGTTAACATATGATATAAATTTGATAAACAATGTATAATGATTTATCTATTTAGACATAACAATCTGTATATCACATTTATCTTAATATATCCATTATTAATAGTTATATTATAGGTATTACATGTTATATACATATATATATTATACATATTACAGCATAATACTATAATATTAAAAGATTGCTTATATTTTATATCTTCGTTTATTGCTTAATAATGTTACTATTAATAATGACAAGTAAATACGAAAAAAATTTACATAACATATAAAATATATAAATTTATATAGCATAAAGATATTTTACATAAACGTTTAAATTATTTTTATTGCTGTTAAAAGTATAAAAATATAGTGAAATTAAAAAATATCTATACTACTCAACTTAATTATAATTTCAAATAGAAGTCGCTTATTTTACGCTTATTGTATTTCTTGTTTCTAAACAAAATTGCGAATACATCAATATACCTATGAAAAGATTCGTGTGCCATTATACGATTAAATAAATGTTTTATTTTGCAGATGGAGATTTGCATCGATTCTTTAGAATCCGCCAGAAATGCAGTAGAAGGTGGTGCAAGTCGGCTCGAAGTTTGCTCGGCTCTCTCGGAGGGTGGTTTAACGCCTAGCGTGGGTTTAATTCAGCAAATAAGAAACTTTACGACAATTCCGCTTTTTGCCATGATCCGAATTCGTGATGGCGATTTTGTCTATAGTCAAGAAGAGATCGATGCTATGCTGTATGATTTGAAAATCCTTAAGGATCATCACGTGAACGGATTTGTCTTCGGCGCATTGACTCCCGATTGCGAAATCGACACTGTCGCATGCGAAAAAATTGTGTTCGCCGCTCATCCTTTGCCGGTCACATTTCATCGCGCTTTCGATTTAACGACTGATCCTATCAAATCGATGAAACTTCTTACCGAACTTGGTTTTCAGAGAATCCTGACATCTGGACAAAAAAACACTGCTTTAGAAGGGCTAGAACTGATAAAAACGCTGTTGCAAAAAGATCTGAAACTGATAATTATGCCTGGAGCTGGTATCACAAAAGATAACATTCGCGAAATCATGGCGTCTGGTGCGAAAGAGTTTCATGCATCAGCAAAAAAAGAAAAATGGTGACTTATGGTACAAACAAAGTTAAGATGGGAATCACTGATTGTGATTTTGTTAATGTGACTAACAAAGAATTGGTGAAAGAATTAGTTGAGATCATCAAGAATGAATGTATTGCTTTGAACAAAAATTAATTCTATGCGAACATATCTAATTATAGGAGTGTAACTTAATATAATTAATAAATATAAATAATATGTGTACAACATATATAAGAGCAATCTGATTTAAGGGAGTAAAGTCCTTTTATTAAGATTTTTTTAAATCTAAATTTTAACTCTAAATTTTAGAAGAAATATTAATTACAGCGATTAAATAGACTTTGAAGATTTAGACTTTTTTTAAGAAATTCTATACGCGAAAATATAAATATATAGTGATATTACAGCATTTTAAATCTTTGTGTTCAAAAAACATGATCTATCGATGGCGTAGAGAACTCAAGTTGTCATTATCGAAAATAAAAAATTCTTGAAAATTTCGAAACTATATGAATATAATTTCAGTTGACTGTAAGAATTTTTTAAATAATTTTTTTATAAAATATCGCCGGTTTGAAGAAAATTTAAAATTTCTTCAAATTTTGATATGTTTAAACATTTTGTTCTTAAAAACTAAGAAAAAAAACACAACTGAAACTATATCATTTTATTAATTTGTGAAATTATTCTTGAAATTTGGAATGGTAATCAATCAAAAATTGATTTATTTGTAACTTTATTTGTAACACTATTAGTTAAAGAAAAGTGATTTTATGAAAGATGTTTAAAATTTTAGTATCAATTATTTCAGTCAAAATTAGTTTAGTATAGTGAAACAAACTATAGTGAAATTATAACAATAATCAAGAGAATTTTTAGCTTAAACATATGAGATCGAGCAGAATTTAAATT